TAACATTTTGTATGGGTGTCACCCTCATACCTCTTTATTTACATTGTGAAACTCTCCAGTACATTATTTCTGAATGATACTGACTAAACTGATGTGCCTCTCCCAAGTTTACTCAGCTCAGCTAGAAGATGCTCCCTTTGCTGAGAATCTGTTCTGGTTTGTTTATCAGTTTGCAACCTCAGAATGACATTGGATTTACGTTAATCTCTTTTTTAACATTTTGAAGATTGCCTGTCATTGGGAAGGTGCAGTACATTCCATGGGATTCTGGTGCTTCCTCCAGCACTCTCTCCCTGTTGCTGATATATAGAACAGATCTTCCCGGTAGCTCTTCACTCCAGCAGCTGGGGATTGGTTGGTTTGTTAGAAAGGGATAAAACCATGAGAATGGCATTGCCGGTAGGTGGATTGAAGAATATCTTTGTTAATTATCATCTGGGTCCAACTTCATGGGGCCTAAAAGAAACAGGGACCTGCAACTTTTAGAGTCACTGAACTCTGGAAAATGGGAAAAGCAAGATCCATTTCTTGTTTAACAGAGGACAGAGGCATTTGTAAAAACTACAGACCAGCTAATTCAGCATTGAAACCTTTGAAATTATTTTAAGATATTTGATGAACATAGGCCTGGAAAAATTATAACTGGTGGATCGTCTGATTGGATGGACAAATAGAAGATCAGACTTATTAAACCATGTTAGAGTTAATGTTCACTGACTCGGATGGGAATGTGTTCAATTTCTTGCAGATGGATTTTAGACATTGTTCTTGGGTAAAGAAATAGGTTGAGCAGTTGTCTTTCCAGCTCATGAGTCTGCAAATACTATTCAGTAAAATCATAGCTGATCTTCTTCGTCAGCTTCATTTCCCCACATCCTCATATCTCTGAAAATAAAAGCAAAACTCTGACAATGCTGGAGATTTGAAAGAAAAACTAAGTGCTGGAGAAAGTCAGCAGGTCTGGCAGCATCTGTGAATAGAAAGCATATTTAATGCGATATGACTCTTCTAGAAACTGTGATGACAATAGGAAATTGGTCAAATTTGACCTGCTTTTTGTATACATGACATATCCAGGTGTGTTGGGTAGATGCTAGTCAATTGTAGCTGTTGGAATAACTTGGCTAGGAGTGCAGCAGTTCTGGTGCACAATCCTTCAGTACTGTTTTCTGAATGTTGTCAGGACCCATGGCATTTGTAGTATCCAGTGCCTTCAACCGTTTCTTGATATCACGTGGACTGAATCAAATTGATTGAAGACTGGAATCTGTGATGCTGGGGACCACTGGAGGAGGCCGAGATGGATTATCTGCTTGGCACATCTGACTGAAGATGGATTCAAATGCTTCAGCCTTATCTTTTGTGCTAAATAAAAAACCGAAAGAACTGCGGATGCTGTAGATCAGGAACAAAAACAGAAGTTGCTGGAAAAGCTCAGCATGTCTGGCAGCATCAGTGAAGAAAAAAAAATCAGAGTTAACGTTTCAGGTCCGGTGACCCTTCCTCAGAACTGAAGGGTCACCGGACCCAAAACGTTAACTCTGATTTTTTTTACTTCACAGATACTGCCAGACCCACTGAGCTTTTCCAGGCACTTCTGTTTTTGTTATCTTTTGTACTAATGTGCTGGGATTTCCTCATCATTGAGGATGGAGATACATTTGGAGTCTCCTCCTCCTCCTCCTGGGGGTTGTTTAATTGTCCACTGCAATCCTTACCTGTTCGAGCCAACGTGACTCCAGACCCACAGCAATGTGGTTGACTCTGATTTCTGAAATGGCCAAGCGGTCCATTCAATTGTACCAACCACTCTGCAGCGGTTCAAGAAGGCAGCTCAGCCCTGCCTTC